TTCAGCAGGGGGCCAGTCCACTGTCCCTCAGACCTTGTGGGGGGCCAGACTATATTTTGAAAAAAAAATGAACGAATTCCTATGCCCCACAAATAACTCAGAGATGCATTTTAATTAAAAACACACATTCTACTCATGTAAAAACACCAGGCAGGCCCCACAAATAACCCAGAGATGCATTTTAAATAATAGGACACATTCTACTCCTGTAAAAACACACTGATTCCTGGAACGTCCGCGGGCTGGATTTAGAAGGCGATTGGGCCAGATCTGGCCCCTGGGCCTTAGTTTGCCTACCCATGGGATAGACTATATTTTTCTGTGTATAAGACAATGGCAATTTTTGCTAATTTTTTAAAGTCAAAAATTGAGGGTCGACTTAAACACAGATAGTGAATGCACAGGGGTTCAGGTCCGAGTCTGTGCTCTGGCAGCCTAGGCGTGGGCTTGGGCTCTTGAAATATGGCAACCCTAACACCCTAACCCTAACAAAGTTCAACAACTTTAGCCAACTTCCATCAAAAAAGCTCGTGCGACCTCCTCCCCATCTCCAAAAAAGCTCAAAGTTGTTCTGTTTGATGTTTAAAATATTGATTTCTTAATGTTGGCTTCAAAAAACTAGGGGTCCTCTTATACATGGGGGCATCTTATACATGGAAAAACACGATAAGTACATAAAAGAGCCTGCTAGATGAGGCCTAAAACCCACCTAGTCCAGCATCCTAGACTCGCAATGACCAGTCAGATGCCCATGAGATGCCCCAAAGAAGGACTTAAGCTTATCTCAGACCCTCCAATGTCAGAGGTCCCCCAACCTTCTGGTAGGAACGCTTTGTGATTGCTGCAGCCCCCTAACACTTATATGAAGGAAACATAATAAAGTATAATAACCATGACCATGAACGGCTGTTTGCTTTCGTTCTCAATGCCAAGCATGGGGGGAAAAAGGATTTCAAATGGACTGTACATTTAAAGTTTTGCCAGCTTTCATATTTTGAAGTTTGGTACTCTGTGTTTTCCTTGCAAGAGCCAATCTAGTTGGTGCTGAAGCAACTTAGTAACACAAAGCAGATTGTCAAGAAACCATTTTGGTATGAATATATTTTCATAAATGCCTATCTATGATCTCAATGTATTGGATGCTAGAAACGAATTCATTGCAGCATTCCCTATTTCGGCCAACAACACCTGAAAATAATTACATGTTGCTGCTTTGGAAAAGAGCTTTGAAAGATGCTTTAGGAACACCAGCCACCTGCAAAACAATCACCAGCACCCGCACTACACTGACCTTTTTTCTTTTCTTTTTTAAAAAAGCCATAAAATAGATAATGAACACATAACTGAAAATTAACCACTAAGCAGCACGTATTTAATCAATGCCAACGAAGAAGATAACATCCCAACATGTTAAGATGCATTATACTTTCCCACCCTGTTACCTAAAGTTGTTTTCCAGATCAGGGATTGGTTCTGGAAAGTGCTGCATGGCAAACACATCTTGTATTGAGTGCTGCTCCCTCAGACAGGTTCAGTAGGTCAGTTTATGAATGACACTGAAGAGCAGTACAGACTTTATCTTATGTCTCCCAGTGGAGGCTGGTTCATTTGGGCAAATGGGGCATGGCCCCACCAACCTCAGTCTGTTGGTCTCCCTGCCTTCCACCCTACCACCACTGATCACTTCTTATGTTAAGCCAGATGGGGTGTCCTTGTGCAACCATCCTCAGGACCAAAATGAGGGAAAGTGTATTCCCACTGAAAGTTGGGACCTCAGATCCTTGCTGAAAATAGCAGGGGGTCAGAATAACTCACTCTGCGCCTTCTTCCCCAAATCCCTAAAACTGGCCCAGACATATCCTTAGCAGCAGAGGGAAGTGCATAGACACAAGGCCTGGGAACACAGAGGAGAGGACATTGGAATCGACTGAGTGGAAAGTGTCTACAGCTAACTTTCTGCTTGGCGAACCCAACAAGATGCCTGGTGGTTGACTCAGGGTCCTCTCACCGTCCAGTTTCCTGGGGAAAAATTATTTTGGCAGCAAAAGAGGCCTGTTCCTTTGCCACCATAGCAAGGGAGAGCGCAAATGGCAGTGAGATCAAAATTCTACCCTCTCTCCTCCCCATTTGGATTTGGGTCCAAAAGGCCAAGCCAAAGTATGGAAGCATGGAGAACAAGTGGTAAACAAACACAATTTGTGACACGGCACAACATCATTGCTTATCACAGAGCCTGTCCACTAAGGCCTTAGATTGTGTTTTCCCAGCTTTGTGGAACATAGAATCATAGAATCATAGAGTTGGAAGAGACCACAAGGGCCATCGAGTCCAACCCCCTGCCAAGCAGGAAACACCATCAGAGCACTCCTGACATATGGTTGTCAAGCCTCTGCTTAAAGACCTCCAAAGAAGGAGACTCCACCACACTCCTTGGCAGCAAATTCCACTGTCGAACAGCTCTTACTGTCAGGAAGTTCTTCCTAATGTTTAGGTGGAATCTTCTTTCTTGTAGTTTGGATCCATTGCTCCGTGTCCGCTTCTCTGGAGCAGCAGAAAACAACCTTTCTCCCTCCTCTATATGACATCCTTTTATATATTTGAACATGGCTATCATATCACCCCTTAACCTCCTCTTCTCCAGGCTAAACATGCCCAGCTCCCTTAGCCGTTCCTCATAAGGCATCGTTTCCAGGCCTTTGACCATTTTGGTTGCCCTCCTCTGGACACGTTCCAGTTTGTCAGTGTCCTTCTTGAACTGTGGTGCCCAGAACTGGACAACATGAGCTGACCTGAGACAGATTTAGGTCTGATCTTAAACCAGGAGGTTTGAATACAGCAAAATATACAGTAAAGTGATTTTAACACAGCAAGATATACAGCAAAGATAGAGTAAGACTGTTTAAAATAAATGCCTTTAATCCTATTAAATATGTCACGATCTGATTAGCAGAAAGGGTCCGTGGGTCAGAATAGGTCTGTGATACTCATTATACCTTGTTTTTCCATATTTCTCACAGCCAACCTCAGGATGAAAGCGAAGCCTCCTCAGGGAAGGGAAGGCTCAGAAGTTGGCAAATCGCTAACTCCAAACTCTCTCCGTTTATTTTTAACATTGGATGAAATGTTTCCCTTGTGCCCAAAGAGTTAATATTTCGGTTGAATTTGGAGCAGTGCATGCTGCAAAAGGTGATCAAATCATGAACCTCATTTTGTTTTTGCTCAACTTGTCCAGAACTTGAGCTCTTTTGTTTGGAACTTAGGCAGCTGTGCTGGCTGACACAGTTGGTAGATTATGCCGATTGGGCCTCTGAATCCTAGCCAAGATCTCATTATGCGAAAAGCAGCAAGTGCGTAATCATTCCTCTGAGGCTGGAAGAGAACTGTTGACTAGGTCCCTTCTGCTGCGTTTCTTGCTTATTTCTGAGGATGGAGCGTGGTGACCAAAAAACACAGCAACGTAATCAATGGCACTTGCCTCAGCTACAGAAAGAAGGGTGGCATAAGGCCCACAGGTCACTAGCAGAGCAACTGTTTTGAATGCAGGAGATCCTAGGTTAAATTCCCAGCACCTCCTGGTAGGGCTGGGAATGTCCCCTGTTTGAAATCCTGGACAGCCACTGACAGCCAGACAATACTCACCTTGGTGGGATACCAGTCTGACTTGGTAAAAGGCAACTTCCTGTGTTCCCATGAACTTGCGTTAACACACAGCCTCTGGGACCACTGTTTGGAAGGCAGCTCTCGAAGTGTGCAAGTCTGCCCTTATCAAGGCAAACACTGGTTTCACATCTTCTATAACAGGGGTGTGCTTTTTGGACTCCAACTCCCATCAACCCTATTCAGGTTGGCCAATGGTTAGGGATGATTGGGACCCACTGATTATTTGTGTGTGAACACTGGGAATACATGTAAGGGGTCAAGCCCCTCTTTTTGGGGGGCGGGATATAAAACACTACAGGTAGGGCTTACCTGATTACAACGCTATCTGACCAAAAGCTTGGTGAAAAGAAAAGTCTTAACGGAGCATCAAAAAGCCAACAGAGGGATGCGTTGTGGAAAGGTGGATGATTGGGTAGCCCTATTCTTGTTTTTATTATGTGCTTTTTATATTGTGCTTTTATGTTGTGAACAGCCGAGATCTATGGGTATAGGGCGGTATATGCATAATAATAATAATAATAATAATAATAATAATAATAATAATAATAACCAGGCTTCTTGAGGCAAGCAGTTATACAAAGCAGGGTCAAAACCAAAAAGGCTATATTCTGTACCATATTCCAGCTAAACCAACTTTCAGTGTCAGTAGGGCACAAAGTACAGCCTCAGATTAGAACAGGCAGGCTGGCTCATGAGTTTGGCACTACCATCACTAGCGAAATGTCAGGGACTGTTGGGAAGCTGACGAGTGCGCACCAGGGGAAGGAGGGATGAAGTCTGACATGGGAGACGAGACCAGTGATTTGTGTGGAACTGTACCAGCCAGGAGGCAAGAATTGTAGGCAGGGGAAGCGTCAAAGATGGAGGGTGGAGCACAGGATGAGTTGGAATAAGAGGAAAAGAGGCAAGTCAGGCAAGTGAAGGGCCAGGTGCTTCCCCACCTTCTCCTGCACTACTGTCTCCCAGAACCAGGAGGGGATTGAAAAGGGATGAGCAGAGGAAACTCCTATGCCAGCGTAGCCTCTGCTTGCATGGGCGAAGCTCGTTGGAGGAAGTACATAAACTGCTGGAGCAGAAGCGGTCCCCTGGTGCAGCAACTGCTCCATTGAGTGGAGATCAGGGAATAGATTGTTGCGCAAGAGTATCCAGAGCTGTAGAAGCGATTGTTGAGTGTTATCTTTGACAATCAAGAGTTAACTATCTGCTGTGCTTGTTCCTTTGGCTGTGAAGTGCCCTTGGCATGAAAGACACATTATGTGAAACAACCATCAGAGGATGCTTAGAGTACCATTAAATAACAATGCTATAATTTCAAGGTATCTCTCCTCGCTCTTACTCACAGTAGGCTTGGACCGCTCTGCACACCCAAAAAAGCATCTTCATCAATAACTCTCAGATATTTGTTCTTATTCAGATACCTGCAAGGGGAAAGATAGCACCAATAATTAGCTGATAGCTTATATTTTAACAGTTAATTGTATGGGAATAGTAAAAAGTAAAAAAGTCAGACTGGGAAGCTAGGTCAGCTTTTGCTGAATATCAGGCCCACTTTCTTCATCAAGGGGCTCCTACCAGAACATCCACTGAAGCCTACGGACAGGATTTCCCTAAGGAGCGTGTCAGGATAACTCCCAGAACAGTGGTCAGAAGGAGGGGAGGGGAGATCGTTCCATCCAGCAAGCTAAAATTCTGATACAGACAGAATGTTCATTTCCCTTCCTCCCAAAGCAGCCCAGGGTGGGAAACAAGTGTTAAAACAATAAAAACCTTATTTAAAAAATTCCAGAAAATATTCAGACTAGAAAAATCATATTAAAAGAGCAATGTCTTCAATAGGCATTGATTCTAATATTCAAGGAACCAGTGACCTGAGCTATCTCAAGAAACAGCAACCCAGGGGAGCAAGCAAAGCATCCAGATGCCCCAGTCCTCCCAGTGCTGCAGAAATAAAATGAATGTATAATCTCCAGCAATATTGAATGTATAATCTGTCAGTCAAGGTGAGAAACTTGTGGCTCTCTTTTTGATATGTAGAAATGGCATGGCAATGGACACCAGTGAATAATGCAATAACAACAACAACAACAACAACAACAACAACAACAACACCAGCAATAATGAATGTATAATCTGTCAATCAAGGTGAGAAACTTGTGGCTCTCTTTTTGATATGTAGAAATGGCATGGCAATGGACACCAGTGAACAGGATTATGACATCCCTGATCAACCATAAAAATTAGTTCCACTTGTATTGAGCGCTTAGGAAAACTGCATATAATATAATAACGTGCATCATAATGTGTATACAATGTGCAAGAAATGTTCGCATTTTTAGTAGAACGGCAGGGGTGCTTCTTATTGTGATTAAGGGAAGAGATGAGAATTGGGGGGGGGGAGTCAATGTAGATAAGGGCAACAATATGTTAAGAAAATCTGGACTCTATCTGGAAGCACCCAAAGTTCTTCATATATAAAGTTGCAGTGGCATTGCTTTTTTCTGTGGCTTTATGGATTTTAAAATTTCCAACAATACAAAAACTGGAGTGTGCCTGAAGTTAGTAAGCACCTTAGAAAGATTAAACGTGGTGCTGGTTTTTTTAAAACACACACACACACATACACACACACACACACACACAAGCAAACGAACAAACAGCCCTTGCAAATTAAAAACATTAAACAAAAAACATTAGACAACTGACATATGGATGGGAAGTTTGGTGTGCTAGAATGAAGTATGGGAAGACTCTTCTGCTTTGAATACTAAAAATCAATGGAAGATGAATAATTGTTGTTGTTGTTTTTACCAGTCTTTTCTCTGATATTTAGGACTTCGTTGGAAAATTGAAACCTAGCTATCTGGTTCTACCAAGAAGGCAACACAGACTTTCAAACCAACGACATGTTCATAACAATGCCTTAGCAAGGAGGGGCTCCAATGACAGCTGCCAACTTCAACATCTAAGAGCCAGAATGTAGGATTTCCTGATGTTAATGGATTTCAGTTGCTTAAACCTTTTCTTTTAATAGTATCCAAAAGGATTTTTCTTGCTAACTCATTTTATTGTTATGTTTTTGTTGGTACAACATCTAGAGAACTTATTTTAATAAATGTTAAAGGTGATTAATAAAGAAAGTAAGACAAAACATGCTAAAAGGCATACAGACGTTTAAGGGACTGTCTAGTTTGGCCCTTGTCTGTGCTCCCTGTGGGGGGAGTTCGCCTTTCTATTTACAGCAGGGAGGGACATTTATGAGTAGAGATTTGGAAGATGGTCTGCGCAGACGGTCTTATGTCTGTGCAAGCAAGCATATGTTCATGTGCGCACAAGCTTGGCCTCTTTTGTCTAGTTACCTATAGCACAAGCATCACATAAGGAGGTACAAAAATAAATCGGGGGGTGAGAAAGATCTGAATGGTAGATAGAATATCCTGTCTATCTGCCTTTCTAAATCTTACACATATTCTGAAAAGGCTCTGACCTTTTTTCGTTTCTTTGATCCGGGGAATTTATTAATGTTATTATTCTATGGGGATTGACTGGCTTAAAAAAGCCTTCTATGATAAAAGCCTTTTTCTATGAGGGTTAGAAGTTCAAACTGAATTGGTTTTGGAGAAGCATTGTTACTTAGGAGCTGCCCACATCTTTCACAATGGTTTTGTTGGCAGACCACCTCTGCGTTACAAAGGTGACATGAAGGCTGGCAACATCAACCCTGCGGTGCAGGAATCCCCTACGGATAACCACAGTGCCTGGAGACAAACAGACAGACAGGTTGTGTATCCACAGTTGTGTATCCCCAGCAGTGACCAGAGGAAGAATGACCACTGAGAGGAGTGCAGAGAAAAGCAACACCATGGTGCTTCTGCATCAGCACAACCAGATGCCTTCATCTGCCCCATCTGCAACAAAACATATCTACAGACACAGCAGGCTCTGCAACTCTCCAAGAGTTTGACTTCATCCCCAAAGGCTCATTCCTCCACCGTCTCCCGAGACAGATGGATGCCAGCCAACCAACCCCGCCTAACTCCATGCCAGAAAGAACATTCTGTTATTCTTTTCTCAACACCTTTTTCTTCAGTGATATATGTAAATGGTGACCGGGCATCACTGGGGTCATATCAGTGCTCAAAATGGCCAAAAAGAGCTTGGTGTCCATGTCAACTATTTATTTGATGTAGCTGTTCAGATATTTTGAATTTCCTTATAAAGCTGACTCAAGGCATTTTGAGGTCTGGGATAAAGGACAAGATGGTGCCCCCTTCCAATCCCATTTACAGAAGCCAACTACCGTATACTGCCAGTTGAACCTTCATGGGGCAGCATACTACAAATTTATTTAAGGCAGCAATATAGCTTAGGAGGAGGTACAGGGCAAATCATGGGGCACATACAGCTCTATCCTTGAACCACCTCTCCATTAATCCTTGCCTGCCTCTCCAGCAATCTCTATCTGGGCCATCAAGCTACACAAAACCAATAACCTAATGACCAACGCCCCTCCCCGAAAAAACCCCCAGACACTTGTGGCTCTGTGGTCATATCCACAAGTATTGAAATGCAATTTCTCTCTGCTCCTTTTTTGGAGCTCCACAAGTGGTCCTTCTGAACCTGGAACTATGTTCAATATGTTTTGTTTGGAATGCAACAAGTCCATCTTTTCTTCTCCTATTTCTTATCTGGAAGGGCATAAAACGATAGCAGGCGCCCATCAGGTTGCTGTAGCATGAGTCAAAATAACAGGGCCATCCAAAATCGGCATTCCAGCCTCTCTCAGGTAGGAGCCAATGATCAGATGCTGAAAACCTGAAACTTGGTCAGTTGTCTTAGACCGGAGCTGGGACACTGTGCCAAAACGAAAGCAGAGCTGGGCTAGAACAAAAAAGCATCAGAATTTTTCCTAATTCTTGCTGTGCGAGAAGACAATTCGAAGCCAGAGCAGAGTGCAGACCAATTCGGCTTCCAAACAAGAATGAAACACAGTTTAAGACTATGAGGCAATGGCAGAATGGAACAGGGGGAAAGGCAGAAAGCTTTTTGCTAAGGCAACATTCCCGTATGTAATCTATGAACATCTGGCTGGAGAGGAGGACCAGACTGGCAAAATCTCTTTTAGGAGAGGGAGGCGCAAGGAATTTAGGAGCACAGTGCATGTATATTCAGTAGAGGCATTTGTCTATAGGTACTATACATTTTAAACACATTCCCCCCTTCCCCAACAATCCTAGGAACTATAGTTTGTTAAGAGTGCTGGGAATTGCACCTCAATAAAGGTAAGCTACAGTTCCCAGAATGTGGGGTGGGAGATATGCTTTAAATATATATGTGCTTTGTAACAATTTGTTGGGTCTCTGGACCGTAATAAAGATTGTTGTTGTTGTTAAATATATATGCAGCCAAACAGATGAATGGGGAAAGCTTTCAGACTGGTTTGTCAATGGAAAAGTCCAAGTCACATACCTGTGTCTCACTTACACCCCAAACTATACCTAATTTTGAGTCCTCAGCTCTTTAGCTTCCTTCTTTCCACTTCACTTTAAAAGCACTTTGTGTAAGCAACAACCAAACCAACCAAGCTGCTAGAATTACACTTTCAAAAATAAATTTCGCTGTCAGGGCATGTCTTCATTATTTTAGAATCCATTACTAAAATGCTAAAGCAGTTTGTTTTAGTTGTGAGTCCCTGAGCCAAGGAAGCTAATCAGGATTCATGCTGGAATTACCTAGCGTTACCATATTTTTAAACATTTCTAGCACATCAAGAGACACCAAAAAAAGAACTTGAAAAGTATGCCTTGTGGCTTTTGGCTAGAAGCAACACTTGCTCTCTCCCCACAAAAACCCACCCTCCCCCCCAAAAAATTATATTAGTACTGTCATTCATATGTTTGACTGAAGCTAAGGAGCATCAAGTGCCAGTGAAGTTTATTATTTCTGAAAGGAAAGATGGGGGGCTAATCCTGTACGGTCATTTTAGATTCCAACGTATGTGAATTGTCTCCTTTTCCAGGCAGTTGTCATTCATGATGACACACCAGTCTGTGAGACAAGAGTTTATTTTAAGGGAAGAGAAAGATACTTGTGGGGCTCAATTTTACAACACCAATTTACAGTTGACGTTTATGTTATATTTTAAAGCACCATACAGTTCAACTGCTCCAAATGGGAGCTCTTTTTAAAAGAATAAAATAAAGTATGGTCCACAGTAGGGATGAAAATGATACTACAAAAATGCTTGCAAGCCAATTCAGGTGACAAACCAGGATAGTTAGGCTAAACCAGGTGGGACATTTGTCATGTAGTTTGGTGCTGCAAAGGGTTAGGAATGCAGGAAGCTGCCTTATAATGAGTCAGACCATCTAGTCTAATGTTGTCTACACTGACTGGCAGCAGTTTTGTACGTGTGTGCATATGAAGAAGTAAGCAAATGTAAGTGTCCGCACCTACAAAGAATAGAATAGAATCAACTGCACAGCAAGCAGTGGTTTTTTGCTTATTCATTTGGCATGATCTGCTGAGACTACGGCACAATTAGCCTGAGTGTTTAGCTTAGCACTTAGATTAAAGCTAGCCTTGAATATTCTGTTAAAGGAGATTTATACTTTGTTTCTACAGGTGCCTGGAAATGACCAGCTTGTAAAAACACGAGTTCCTTTTCAAAAACACAAGTTACTCATGGTGAGCACAAAGTCAGATTTTCAGATGAGGTGTGGCTGTTTTGTTTCAAATAGTATGAAATGGAGGTTCCAAGAGCTTTAGTTCCATTGCAGCCAGAGGATTTTATAAGGCCCTGAAAAAGCTTGAAATGGGAGCTATTTTAATCATCGCTACCACCATGGTACCCTCATGTGCATCTATATTTTTATTTTTATTTCACTCGACAATGGTAATTTGATTAAGAAACAATCAAATTTTGTAGCTTTTAACTCATACTTTCTAAACAGCCCTTATAATTTAAAGACTTTTTGAGAAAGTGTTTTTGGGAACAAAGAACTCCCCCCCCTTTTTTTTTTTGCAGTGTCATATAGTGGGAAGAGGGAACTGTGGCCTTCCAGGAGTTGTCAGTTTGTTCAACTGCACAACTGCAGTGGTTTTTTTGTTTCTAAACACACAATGTTGAGCTGACAAATTTATTTGTTTTGTTCTCTTTTCCCCTTCATTTTTTTGTGCTGTGTGTTTCCCCCTAATAAATTTGCAATTAAAAAAATCCAAACAAGCTGGAAAAATGAAAAACAATTTCTCCAAATCTCCTTGCTTCATTTATTTCCTATTGAATTCACTGTAAATTACTGCACAAGCATCTTTCTGTTTTAGAATGGGAAATGCCTGTAGTTTCAGGACTGAACATAAATTAAGTGCATGCAAGCTTTTGTTGAATTGGGAGTTCATTCCCAGGTGTTTGCTATTGTGCAATCCGCTTGTTGATATTTTTCATTTTTTAAGATGTGAGTACTGCTTAGCAGACTCCTGAACACATGCCCCGTTTGTGCAAAATTAACACATTCAAATAAACAAACTGGAAGACAAAGACAAAAGAGAGCATTTACCAGTATGGATGGGAATAAGAAATTTAATTTCAACTTCAGCTGCAACTGGGCATGTGTGTAAACCTGTTGTTGGCATCTGTCTGCCTTCAGAGTGAACAAATGAGGTAAAATCTGAATGGAGAAAACATGGCTTCAAAGCCAGACCCATCTCAAATGTGCACAAGCCCTATGAGATGCTGTTTCACCCAAACTTGAAAACTTTTAAAAGTCGTTAGGTGCTTAATTGAACCTGGTGTGGTAAAGTGTTTAAGAGACTGAGCAATAAATGGTGATGTAACAGTTTCGAATCTCACATCTGCTATGAACTCACTACCTGATCTTTGACAAGCCAAACTCGCTCCGTTTCAGTTCCCCCATCAGAAATAACAGGGACAATGGCACTGACCTACTTTATAGAGTTGCTGTAAGGAGTGCAACTAGATAATGCATCCAATATTCTTTAAATACCTGAAAGCATGATGCAATTGGTAAGTATTATTGATTACTTACACAGAATCTAACTTTGTTCCATTGAAGGCATGGGAGTCAACCTTTGTGAACCCATTGTTGTACAGCTTCCTGTAAACAAACAAAAAATAGATTATTAGCTGATGTGACACAACTGTAACTAGGCTTTTTTACTTTTTGCATGCACACTGTGTCCTAACTTACTTTAGTCTCAATGGGAATGCTTGTTCCCATTGCTCCCCAACCCCAAAGTATACGTTCCCCTAACGAGCATCTGAACACCTATATGTTTTTGGTTTTGATGGCATTATATGAAATTCCATTATATCTTGGCCTATTCATTTTTCTTCCCACTGAAACCAATGGGAGGTAACATTTAAGAAATAAACAACTCGGGGTGAAATTCTAAATGTCCTACTTACTGCCTTGGCAGGGGCAAGCTCAGTAGGGCTTGGGAAACAGTGGCCCCTCCCCCAAACACAGCCCCCCCCCCATCGCCTGAGGATTGCTCTGCCCATCATCTTTCCAACTGACAACTATTTTCTTATTTAGCATTACTCATTAAGGCTAAACTACTGCTTCACAACTACTGAAACGAAAAGGAGGAAGAGAAAACAACTTGTGCCCCATCAACATACAGGCTAAGGGATTCGTTGCATAGCCCACGGAATGCGTTTGCAGGCACCGAAATCATGTATGGATTATCAGCCATTTCACTGTGAAAAAGAGGAGAAAGGCTTAGTATTACAATAAAATACAATTATATGTTAATATAACTCTGTGATTATAGATATAGATGATATAGATATGACACACACATACAGTGGTACCTCAGGTTAAGTACTTAATTCGTTCTGGAGGTCCATACTTAACCTGAAACTGTTCTTAAGCTGAAGCACCACTTTAGCTAATGGGGCCTCCTGCTGCTGCCGCGCTGCCGGAGCACGATTTCTGTTCTCATCCTGAAGCAAAGTTCTTAACCTGAAGCACTATTTCTGGGTTAGCGGAGTCTGGAACCTGAAGCGTATGTAACCTGAAGCGTATGTAACCCGAGGTACCACTGTACATGCTTAATTTTTCTTTAGACATTTAGACAACTGCACTGTACTGCATGTGAGGCAGCCCTTGATAACTGGAAATTTCAACTGATGCAGTATCCTAATAAGGATAAACAATGGAGAAAATAATATACCAGCACTTCAGCAGCTTTGCTGCCCCCCCCAATTGTCTTCTTCACCCAGTTAAAGGTACTTGCTTTGAAGAACAAAGTGCTTTAACAGTCAAGAAGACCATCTCCTCCTGAAGTTTCATTAGGATTTTCTACAGTTTTCAAAGGGCGGCCTCTTCAGTACTATTTATGCAACAAATTAGAGCACCCGTAACACGCAGAGAGGCTCTCTGGTGAACTCTGGCTGGAAGCAGAAATTACAACAGATAAAAAAGGGTGCCACTGGAAACAACACTTGTGATTCTTTCCTCCTCTATCCTTCATGAAGTCTAGCAGTGCACAGCAGACAATGGACTACAACTTTTCTCTGCCCTGATAAACTTCATTGGCTGCCGCTTGAAGAAGAAGGGAAACTCTGATACTTGCAGCAAAAAGTTCATATCTGCTGTCACTGAGTTGATCTTCGTGAGGTCAGGGAAAACTCTGAGTCCAGTGTTCATGATCACACTGAAATAAAGCAGAGAAGGAGAATTTAATGGTGTGCCTATGTACACAAAGAGATCCATTTTATTATTTATTTATTTATTTAAACAGTTTATATGCTGTTTAGCAGCATAGCTCTAAGTGGTATACTGTACGATTGCAAAAGATTTAAGATAGATAGTGCAGATATGCCTTTAAAACAATAACTATACAATCTAGGCCAAACTAAGTTCCACTGATATAAATTAGGTTCATATACCTGTGGGAGCAAGGATTGGACTAGTTGACCTCCCAGGGTAGCATCTAAGCCAGTGATTCCTGATTGCAAGAGTGACATCTCTGCAAGACTAGGCTGCAGTGGTCAAAACTGGCTGGACAGGAGATTTATCTGAGTCTAGAGTCTACGTATATCTCATCTGTTAGGGAGATTCATTTATTGCTGTTGACAGCTGACCCTTTGAATGGCAGAGGAAGTCTAGGGACTCAGCTACATTAGTAAAGAAAAAGTGTTTTATATGCGTTATAACACTGTGACACCAAAAGACGCTGTGGAGTCCTGCCTTTCGCCAACGTGATTTCCCATAATAAACTTTACAACGTGTTTTCCTGAAACACTTTTTTGATGTGCCTACATCCAGCCTAGGATTCCTCCTCCCAGCCCAGATAAGAAAAGTGGTAACCCAGTGTTTGTGAAAATGCGTTATCGGTTAGCAGTGTGCATCAGACCGGGAGAGACAGAGTTAGTTTGAGCTCTGAAAACATCTGGCAGTGGGGGGACTGACTTGTTTCCCCAGGAGAGCTGAGATGGGGCAGCGTAATACTTCACCTAGGCTCAACCTGTATATTTGTAAATCATTTTTCCAAAACGCCAGTAAGCAGTGGTATTTTCCTAGAAAAAGAAGTGCCAGAACTCACCATTATTGCCTCTCTTGTTCTCTTAGAATGGCAACGGCTCCCACCTGAGAGGAGTTGGAACTGAGTTCCGGTGACTTCTGGATGAAAAAAAGCCCTGCCAGTAAGCCTCCATAGAATAAGAACAGGGGCACTGCTGTAAGCATGAAAAAATATCCCTATTTTGAACTCTAATGTTGGTGGGTAGAACCCTGAGGTTAAGGAAGCGCCCAAATCTTACAAGAATAGCAATTCCCTAGGCTTTTGTTTTCAGTACTTACAGGTATTTCAGCAACGGGAGATTCATGAAGGCTTCGGGATCTATGTATTGTAGGTTTCTGGCATTTCTGATTTCTCTGTTCAAAATACAATCAAATGTCCACAAAGAACATTAGTATTTCTGTTCTTGCACACCTCACATTAAACACACCCACCCACCCACCCACCCACCATAGGAAGATGCCTTATACAGAATCAGACCACTGGTCCATCTAGCTCAGTGTTTCAGACAGGGGTATCTCCTGCCCCCCCCCCCCGAGATGCTGAGTATTGAACCTGCACACAAAACAGATGCTCTCTACACCTTTGGTCTATGAAATTCTGAGAACTGAAAAGTCCATTCTTATAAATGAGCTCCATGTGAACTATGGCCTATTAGCAAATGTTTCGTCCAAATAACATGTAACAAGCTGACCTCACTCAAAAGCAAGAGGACCTGTTTTCTGGGTGGTATGATTAGCATAATTTTCTAAAAAGATTGGATTCTGGACCCCTTTACACTTATGTAACAGAAAAGAAACACTACTTTGGCCTGCTCGTCTTTGTATATGTTGGCCTTTGTGTTAAAAAATAACAGTTGTCTAATGTTTTCGAGGTCAGGCACAAAAAAGATTTTCTGATGTGCAAAAAGATTTCAGTTATGAATATGGGTTCAGAAAGAATATTAAATTAATTAACAATCAAAACAAAGCATGCAGGGGATTTTAGCATTGCCATATGGCAGGATTCCTTCTGGCCTGCCTGGAATGTCACTATTCAAGAAGCAAAAGCCAGTGCTAGAAAATGAAAAGCCAGCCACAATATTGGTGTGCGATCTATCTATCTATCTATCTATCTATCTATCTATCTATCTTGCATGCCACCCCAGTCTCCGAATGGCACAAGATTCCACGGGTTCCAGGGATCACTTTCCTAGGAATGATGGACAGCAGAGACTGTGGTGTCTTTATGATATATGGTTTATTTACACATATCTACAACCTGATATGGGGCTCACAGCATTAACACCCCATGAAGGTATTGCTTCTCCCATAGCCAAAGCCTTGGATTCCAGACGAAAACAGGCATGGCTCTGCCTCTCAGCTGCCCAGCCTGCTTCTAGCTTCTAGCTCTCACACACCTCAACTCTGGCTTTTGCCTTTCTAACTAACATAGAGACCCATTGGTCCTCTGGCACAGAGCCACTTCTTTGTTAACTTAATGGCACACCAAACCCTGTTACCTCTTCTGCTTCCAACACCTCCTCCTCCTAGCCTGCTCCTTCTTCTCCCTCTGACCATTCATCCATCCCACCACCACTCCTCTGGCTCCGAGCCTGCTTCCCCTGAGGGTTCCCCAGCCTCTGTATCCAGCCAATCCGTGACCCCCTATCATGCCCTCCTTATGAGAGCCTCGGGAGCTATTTTTGCCTTCCATAGTCTGAGGCAAAATTTTGGACTAGATGATTCTTACGCTCCTTTTTCTGAGCACTTGTCGAAGCCAGAGCAATTAGCCCCTCTTTTATGAGGAACAAGTTCTCAATTAAACAAGCAAACAAAGCATTAAAAATATACAAATGGTGTGTTCACTCACTGGCTTTCCTTTAAAAATAAATGTTAACACATACATAAATATATATACTTCTGAATAGTCCTCTGTTGCATGACTGGTTTCCCCTAAAACTGTTTAAAGTAATTGAAACCAATCTTTAAACAAACTATGATGATAGTGGCTAAATATTATTTTAGAAGTAAGGCTTCTAAAATGTAATGTAACATAAATGTACGTACAGCAGACAGCATTTGTTTATTCCCCAACTGACCTTGCCCTCTGGAGAATAATTACACAGAAGCCAGTGATATTCAACTAATGCTAATGATCTAAGGGGCTCTGAAGAGAATTCAGAAAAACACTCACATTTCTGAAGGGCTTTCCCTCACAGAATGATATCTGGCATGCATAGTCAAACCTTTTAACCTTTTCCCAATTAAGTCTTCTTGTCCTAATTGACAAGAGGTATGGCTAGATGAGTGTGTCCTTTGGGCTTCATAATCCTGTTTAGCAGCACAATCTAGCAGTTGCAAATAGACTGTGGAGATAAATTATTATTATGCAACTTTCCGAAAGCTGCAAAACAAACCCACCAGTTAATGGCACTAGCCTGTCATATTGGTGTTCATTGTTAGTGCCTCTGCATGAATATGTGTTTTCATTCATTTTTTTCTTTTTTGGTAATGTAGTTTTTATTCATTTTCATCTATGGGTTTTCTTCTATAGCTGGTATATTTTCCCCTAGATTAAATATACTGAAGCATATACTATTACATAGTTCACCACAAAGTTAATTGTTTCTTTTTTGGCAATCACTCATAGCCGAGTAAGATTGTCTTCCATGAACATGGTCTTAGCAGTGAGTCCGTAAGTGACTGTGGAGGCCAATTCTGGATCCACACGTCATTCCACAGTGGGGACATAGGTTTCCAGGTGGGAGTTGATCACGGTGAGGGTTTGCCAAACGTGCCTTCCTCTTAGCTCGTTTCTCCTTTGTGCCCCGAGTTCGTGCTTCATCAAAGTCCACGACACCTTTGGTAAAGGCTGTTCTCCAACTGGAACGCTTGCAGGGCAGTGTTTCCCAGTTATCAGTGCTCATACTACATTTTTAAAGATTTGCCTTGAGAACATTCTTAAACTGGGAATAGAGTAGTTGCTTTGGAAGATAATAATCAGGCATCCAGATAGTTAAGCAGTCATTGGAAGATATATATCCAAAAGAGAGACTAGGGATTTGGAATAAGCAGCAGATTAGGGAGCTGTGGAAGCTGACATTCTCATTTAACTATTTAAATAGTAAAAAAAAAATATTGATGTTTGAAAATTAACAGTTTTGAAGAGATAAATGCATCTCTTGATAACCTTAACTTTATGAGCTGATCTACTGTAGCCAAGTTCACACAATCAGCTTAACACATTTTACCAGCTCTTTTTGCATCATATCATAGGACCAGTTCAAATTATTCAAGGATTATCATCTACTTACATGTGTGTGACTTTGTTTAGATTTCTGAAAGAATGAGCCTCCAGCATCTGCAGCACTGCATCTATGGTGATATAGCTACACGGAAGAAAAATGGGAAGGGAGGTCATACACAAAGGCAGATGGAAATCTATGAGCTGAGTTCATTGTATCTGTTCTCTGTAATATTCCTCTGCTCCAGGGAGAGTCAATGTTGTGCCCCCCAGATGTTGGGCTACAAGTCCCATTGTCCCTGATCATTTTGGTTGGAGCTGATGGGAGCTGGAGTCCAACCACATCGGGAGGTTAGCTGCCCCTCTTTTCTTTCATTGTTTTCAATTGGCTATGTTGGAATGGAATTCTAAACAACAAGTTGGTGCCTTGGACTTCTGCATAATCTCCTCCTCTTTTGACACAGCTGCAAGGATTTGCTTCTACATTCAAGTAACCACAGTCTGCTGTTATCTCTGAACTGGGACAGTGGCTAGTTTTAACTATGGTTTGTCTGAACAAGCCAGATGCAAACTGCAGTTCTCAATCTTGGCTGGTTCAGATAAACTATCATTAAAACTAACCACAGTGCTTTCAGTTCCAGGGAATCCAATTCCCTATGCAGAGACAGAAGTGTCTTCCCTGGTGGGGCCATTACGCTAGTTTCCCAGCAGATGGGTCACTGTTACTTTCTGAGAGGGGACATTGGCACAGTACACATGCACCAACAGCAGCCCTAGACTGGCTCTTGTTTCCACCATGCCAACCTCCCCACTCCCAGTAAGCAATAATAGTGACCAACCTGCCAGGAAGCTAGCATAGGAGTTCCACCCTACTTGGTGAACCACATCTGTGCAAGGCTCTTGCAAGCCTTCCTCAGCATGGAACAAATGGACCAGTAATCTGCGTTAGAGTAATGATGGCAGGGGAATCACACCAAAATGTGCGATCAAAAGGTTAATTTGTACTTATGGTTTTTAAAGCAGTTAGTAATGCAACATCTGGCTGCAGAGATAAATAACAGTTCTGATTGCATCCAGAGAACTACGGTTGCAAGGCAAGCTTGTGTTGGTGGCAGGGTGTTACTTAGCAACCAGGTAGGACCACAGAATATTTGTTTGGTCTGGACATAGCAGTGATAGGGAAGCTATGGTCCTTCAGATGTTGCTGGACTCCAATTCCAATCATCCTTAAGCATTGGCTATTATGGCAGAGGCTGATGAATTACGATTCCAATAACACGTGGAGGGCAATATCCCTGGTGTATTATTAATTTATTTCATTTTGGCACCCACACTTTGGAACTTCCTGCCTATTGACATAGGCCTGAACCATTTTGTTCACCTCATCTGTTTGTTACTCAGTCAAGTTTGCCTGGTTTTTTTGGGTTTTTTTAATTCTTGGATTCAGTCAGCTTTATTCAGCTACTTCTGCTAACAATCTGAGCTACCAAAGTTGTTTTTAATGCTTCACCCCATTTTAATATAAAAACACATTGGGGGTTGGAACTTACATCCTGGAGATGTTGGGAAGATTGGAGAATGCTTCTGTAGGAATTATTCTCAAATGGGTTTCCATAAACCTCCTGTAGAAACAAAACTCTGTTAGTTCAAGAGACTTACAGATTAAAAAACCTTTTTCCGTTTCTCAGAGCAGAGTGGAACTTATGTTGGGGACAGAAGGAGAAATGATTACAGACACAAGGCAGGTGGAGATGAGAGAATATGATGAGAGTATATGACAGGGGTCAGCAGCGTTTGGGCCAGGGGTCACATTTTGAATTTTAAGAGAGTGCTGGGGGCGCCAGCCACAAAATGGCTGCCATTGGGGTCCGATATTGGCTGCCTTGGAGGCATGGCATAACACTAAATTAGAGTACAATCATGATGAGACTTTCCCCAGAATTTGATTGATTTGGGATAGGGTCATGGTAAATGGGGAACACAATCTCTTCCAGTGCCACAGTTCAAATCAAAGGCAGACTTTATGTTAAGCTGCTTTAAAGTAAAAAATAAAAATAGTGAACGATCCAGTTGTGCCTCTTCCATATACTATACAGTCCCCTTCCTCAAAGAGAAAAATAATGCTGGTATGGTTTTGCACATCTTTGTATCCTCTAAATCACATTTCAACAATAAATTTTAGCATGTTTCCCTCTCTTTCCCTACTTTGTAGGACTCCTTGTTGTTTTTAACTAAATATTAAGAACATAAAAAGACACCAGCTAGCTCAGGACACATAGCTTAATGGGTTCATTGCTAAATCTGTACACCATGGAAAAGCTCCCCAAATGTGCCTATTCTTAAAAAAAGTTTTTTTTTTAAAAAAGCTGTTTATTATGCCTCATATTGCAGCTGGTAGAATTTTTGTCTAATAATGTCAGTCTTCATGGCTTTACCACATCTGCACAATTAATTATACAAAATACACTCAAAACAATAGGATTAGTGGAATAGGAAGGCTGAAATCTGTGTGACAGACTGAATTCTATTATTTATTCACTTAGGAAGCAGGATGAAAAGCTATTAATATGACATCTATTAAAAACTCCCCACTCCTTACCCAAGTATCTTCCACAAATATTTTCCAAAATGTTGAAAGGAAACCCTTTAAACCAGGCATCCCCAAACTCGGCCCTCCAGATATTTTGGGACTACAACTCCCATAATCCCTAGCTAACAGGACCAGTGGTCAGTGATGATGGGAATTGTAGTCCCAAAACATCTGGAGGGCCAAGTTTGGGGATGCCTGCTTTAGACAGAACATCTAATACTTTATGGTTAGTTTCAAGAACAATCACAAAGGGCAAGGCAATGTCGATATTAAAGTAAGTATTTCAGATCCGGGCATTCCTAGTGCCAAATCCTGTTATTCACAGCCGAAATCTCTCAATGATTTACGAATAAGTTATGATAAGTTAATGGAGGAACTGTCATGCCTACAATTAATGACCATAAACCATTATTGGAGGAAGTCGTAACAATGAAACATCCAAAAGCTTGTAGAGCACTTCTGAATTAGCTAGTCTTGTTTCTAAAGTCAAAACAATGCATCAGGAATGACTAATTGTTCCATTTTGTTATTTCTGAATTTTGTACAGAGTACTTCATGCCCTTTCATTATCTCCATTCATTGTGCATTGATTAAATAGTGCAACATAGGAAGCTAAAAACATAAGAAGAGCCTGCTGGATCAGGTCTATAGCCCATCTAAGTCCAGCATCCTGGTCTCACAGGGACCAGCTAGATACCTGTGGGAAAGCTGCAAGCAAGGCTACAGCCCAAGAGCCCTCTCCCCTCCTGTGGTTTGGAGCAACTGGCATTCAGAAGAACTACTGCCTCCAACTGTGCAGGCGGAATAAGGTAAAGGTAAAAAGGTAAAGGACCCCTGGATGGTTAAGTCCAATCAAAGGCGACTATGAGGTTGCAGTGCTCATCTCGCTTTACGGGCTGAGGGAGCCGGCGTTTGTCCACAGACAGCTTTCCGGGTCATGTGGCCAGCAGGACTAAACCGCTACTGGCACACGGAAGACCGTGATGAGTGCCAGAGTGCACAGAAACGGCGTTTACCTTCCTGCCGCAGTGGTACCTAGTTATCTACTTGCACTGGTGTGCTTTCAAACTGCTAGTTTGGCAGGAGCTGGGACCGAGCAACGGGAGCTCACCCCACAGCGGAGATTCGAACCGCCGATCTTCTGATCAGCAAGCCCAAGAGGTTCAGTGGTTTAGACCACAGCGCCAGAATATAACCATCATGGCTAGTAGCCATCACTAGCCCTCTCTTCCATGAAGTTTTCTTTTAAAGCTGGCTAGGTTGGTAGCCACCATTGCGTCTTGTGCTTAGTGAGTTTCACTGCCTGAGAAACGACTTACTTTCATCTGTCCTGAATCACTTGATGTCCACAAGTTCTAGTGTTATGAAAGAGGGAGAAAACATATTTTCTGTCCACTTTCTCCATGCCATGAATAGTTTTATAAACCTCTTGTCATATCACCTCTTCCCATTTTTCTAAACTGAACAGTCACAAATGCTGTAATCTTTCTGTATAGGGGAGCAGGAGTACCAGCTTGGCCCCATGGTCCGTGGGTGCCATGCAGCGTGCATGGCCCTGACACCGAAATTTGTGGGTGTCCGGCCCCTTCATGGGGAATTTGGTGGGTGCTTGGGCACCCAGGGAGTTGGCACCTATGTAGGGGAGCTGCTCCACCTCCTTGATCATTTTGGTTGTCCTTTTCTGAATCTTTTCAAACTTGTTTTTGCAGCTTGGAGACCAGAACTGTACATAATATTCCAAATGCAGCTGCACTGCAGATCTGTATAACAGCGTCAAGATATTGGATTCCGAATGACCCCAGCTTGCCGTTTGCCTTTTTCACAGCTGCTGAACACTGTGTCAGCATCTCCATCAGGGTAATCTACTATGACTGCAAGGTCTCATTCCTGGTCAGCCACCACCAGTTCAGACCCCGTGAGCATATATGAGAAATTAAGGGAGGGGTGGGGGGGTTGCCCTGACATGAACCACTTTATGATGCATGCATGCATGCATGCATGCATGCAAAAAAGCAATTTTCAGGTAATCCTCATGTACAGCAAAGTTACTTTTTGTATATTTACTAGTGTGCATCAGTCATACAGAGGGATAGAAGAATGCAAATGAGCTGGAGGAGTTGAAACCAAATTGAACTGAATTGAAATTAATTTTAAAAAATTCTTTTGTTGAAACCAGAATTCAAAAATGGGATACTGATGAGAGCAAACTGCAGAGAAGAACCAGCGAAACATTAAAGTAGTAGAACGAGTGAAATATTCTAATTCCTAGTCATAGGTAGATTAAAAAATTTTATAAAGGCTGTCCCTGTAATTGCAACACCGCAGCATCAACAATACAGTACCTCTGAACATACACACACAACAAAACCTAACCCAGCAGGTATTCTCATTGATTTATTAGGAAACCTGCCTACAAGAATATCCTCAGTATGGAAGAATGGTGATGTGAATCCACTCAAAATTCATCTTATAAAAACATAATAGTTGGTATTCGGTCATCTAAATATTGACATAATTTTGTATTTTGGGTTTATGTTTTTAAAACCATGTATGTTATATTTTGATCTCTTCCTTAGCCGCTTCAAACTTTTTTGGAAAGACAGGGGACATAAATGTTTCAAATAAATGAATAATAATGAATAGGTTCACCATGAATAAAAATGAATAGGTTTGACATAAATGTAACTAGGCAAATTGTTTGCACATCTTTGCAGGGGAGGCTTTGCTTAAAATATTTGCTAGCCATATCTTTCTGCACTAACATAGTTCGTGAACAGAAATGCTCATTCATGAAGAATTCATGCAAATATTCCCACCCACTTGAAATATTTCCTTTCCTCCACTAACATCATTACCAGATTATCTCAATTAGAGTAGGTTCGTACTGCACTGTATACAAAACTTGAGAAATGAATAGTGACTAAGAGTTGCTCAACAAGGTGACTTATTTTATGGTCTTTATTTTACTACATATTGCAATTCTTCATAAAATTTACCTAGGCTGAGTACACACGCCATACGTTTAAAGCATATTCAAAGCACACACACACACACCCGCCAAATCCTAGAAACTGTAGTTTGTTAGGAATTATAACTATGTGAGGAGCAAACTACAATTCCCATAATTCTTTTTTTTGGGGGGGGGTATACAGTTTTTGACTGCAATCCTGCGAGTAAGCCCTATTGAATTCAGCAGGAATATCTTGAGTCAACATGCATAGAATTAGGTTGCCTATTTTCTTATTTCAAGATAAATATTTCTTCTTTTCAAAATATATTCCCATTTGTTTTGCAAGTTCATTTATAGACAGTGCTACTTAACATTTCTGCCATCATTGTTTTGATCTGATCAGGATTCCATATTCGACTGTCCTCTGAGATACAATGAAAACAAACCAAGATTGCTGTTTACTAGTGCCCAAAGGATTCCACCTTCCTGGTGGAATTTCTGCTTAACTAGCCACCACCTGAGATTCCAACTCATCTCTAGTTTCGTGCCCTTTCTTCACCTTTTAATTCGATGATTCCATCCAATCCAAGAGAAGTTACCGCTTTGGAACTAAATAAATAGTCTGCAACTCAGGAAACACACTTTTATACATTAAAAAAGTTATTTTCATTATGTTATTTTCACTGTATCTTTGTGCACAATTTTTTGCTGGAAAACTGTCTCACAAAATTCGGAAACGCTTAGTATGTTTAGCCTGGAAAAGTGGAGACTGAGAGGAGATAAGATATTAAGATATTAAGATTAAGATATTCGACTATATTAAGGGCTCTTGTGCGTAGGACTTGGGGCAATGGCTTCAAGTTGCAAGAAAGGAGATTCCGACTAAACATTCGAAAAAAACTTTCTGGCATTAAGAGCTGTTCAGCAGTGGAACAGACTCCCACGAGAAGTGGTGGACTCTCCTTCCTTGGAGGTTTTTAAGCAGAGGTTGGGTGACCATCTGTCATGGATGCTATAGCTGAGATTCCTGCATTGCAGGGGGCTGGACTAGATGATCCTTGGCTCCCTTCCAACTCTAAGAT